ATAGATGAAAACATGGGCTGAAAGTAAACAAATGCCAGGTCAATTTACTGGCAGTACTGGAGCTAAAGTACTCTCACCAGCCGAGCTTACTTCAGGTTATCAAGCTTGGGCTCGTAAGGTAACATTACTTACATCATAATTTATCTTATTATTTATTTTCTATATTTATTTGATCATGAAAATTTGTTTTAAGCAACTATTATAGGAATAGTTAATCTAAATATACGTTTATTACTTATTTATGTTTAGAATTGATAAAATTATTAAGCGTGAGACATTGATACATATATTAACACATATGTATTATATATATATATATATATAATTATTATATATATATATTATAATTTCATTTATTTTTCTTTTTTCTTTAAACAAAAAAAAAATTCATTACGTGATATTGATATTGCCTGTAACAAGTTTTCAGGTACAGTCTCTATTAAGATCAATGCTATATTTTGATATATAGCAGATCTGATAAGAACTGTAATGTAGGCACAGACTATTTCTTATATAGAAATAGATTCTGTGCCTACATGGACACAGGAGCACCATTATTTTATATATTTTTGTGTTGTATAAATAAATCATAATCAATAATTATATTTTACATCTATTACAAAAAATTACAAAAAAAAAATAATTGTAGAAATAATTTATTTAGACTAAAAATAGAAACATTTATTACACAAAATTCATTTATATAATGGGCTCTTGTGAGATTATTGCTAATTATCATCAGCTTCCTATCACAGGATGTCATCTGGAGTTACTGTATCTTTTGTTTATAAAGCTGGGATATTTAGCATTAGTCTGCATCCACCTGAGGGTTTGTTACAGGCACATAACTACGTCAGAGAAGAAACAACTTCAGCGGCGTGATGTCGAATTTATGATTTTTTGGTAAGTATTTTCATTTCAAAAGTATTAGAATTTTATACAATTGATTAATATGCTAAATATGATAATTGGATATAGATAATTAATTTATTTTATTAATTTTAATCATGTTTCTGTCATTCTCAATTTTTAATTTTCTTTACTATTATAAAATTCATTATGTCTTAATCTAACAAACTATTTAGGATCAATTAGTATCAGCACAACCTGTTTCGGGTGGGATGGGTATGGCTTTACTGCAGAAGATGGGTTGGCGACCAGGGGAGGTTTGGAAAAAATAAAGAAGGTACTCTTGAGCCCTTGCAGCTTGAAGTAAAATTGGACAAACGAGGCCTTGTTCAGAACAAGATATTGGACAAAAAGTAGGAAAAACAATAAAACCTTTAGTACCAGCAATCAAAACTTTAGAAGGTATAACATACCAATAAAATATGTATTATAATAACTTGATATTAAATTACAAAATGAATTAAAATTATGTTATTGATTTAAAATTGCAGGAAAACATCCAGTATCATTATTAGGTGAATATTGTTCAAAACGAAAACTTGGTGCACCAGTTTATGAATTATGTTTTGAATGTGGACCAGATCATAGAAAAAATTTTTTGTTAAAGTATGTAATTCTATAATTGTTTATAAATATTTGTATTTTTATGTTGTCAATACATTTATTACTTATTTATTATATTTTAGGTTAAAGTAAATGGAATTGAATATAAACCAAGTGTTGCAAGCCCTAACAAAAAACAGGCTAAAGCAGAAGCTGCACAAATTTGTTTACAAACTTTAGGATTATTACCTGAGACTATATCTACTACAAAATAATAACTTATCAAAAGAATACAAATATAACTTGTTTAAAAATCAAAAAAAAAAAAAAAGAATTATAAAACAATGTACAAAAACTGTAAATTTAAAAGAAATAAGTTTATCTATTTTATTGTATATATAATTAACCTTTATATAATATTTCAGTGTATTTTATTTTTACTATTATGAATTTCAATATTTAATATTAATTGTTATTTTAAATGTATACATCAATGCATAAGATGTAAATACAGATATACTGTGAAGATCAATTTTTTCACTCTCATATCTACCAATAAATAAAAAAAAACTTAATTACTATATAAATTTATATATCTAAAGATTTTATATTTTATTTTTGGTATTGAATGTTTATATAAACAAAATTATTTATATTTAATTTTTAATTAATTTTTTATTTAATATTGTATTATTAATAATTATTATAATAATTATGAAATAAAAAATGATATTGAGCATAATTTGAGGTTATTATTAACCTCAATTAGATATATAATATTATAATATTAGATATATAAAATTCTAATAAATTGAAATAAATTCTTAAATTTTTAATTTTAACTTAAAATTTTTTTATTTTTGTATTCTTATATTTTCAAAAAATTATAATTTTGTTAAAATTGATAAGATATCAACACAATCTACGTTACACACAATTAATATTATGATAGTGAAATGCCGGCAATTTTATTTCTACTGTGATGGACGATGTAGAAGTTCCAATTTTTTACGACGATGAAGCTGATTTTATAGGACATGAATATTTACAAGATGTGGAATATGAGTATGAGTATGAAAATATGGAAAGAGAAACATTATTTGAATTATATCAATATTGTCTTCGACCTACTATTTATGATACAATATCATATATATTACCACTATTTATCTCTACCATAATATTTAGATTATGTGCATATTCTCGTAAGAAATTTTTATAAATATATCTATAAATATAATAAAATGATATAAAATTAAACAAATAATATTTAATTTAATATTACAGAGCGTATATCACATAGAACTTTTCATGTATTGTCAATGTTGATTGGTATATGTAATATTTATTTTTATGTAATAGAATGTTTATATACATTGTTAATACTTTGTATAATTTCATATATCACTTTATATATACCTAAAAAATATTGCAGATATATGGGTATATTTTTACCATCACTTTTTATTATAACATATTGGTAAATTATATAAATATTAATAATTTTTCTTTAAATATAAAAATATAGATGTAAATTTTCTGCATAACTTTTAACTTTCAGTGAATTTACTATGCCACCTATAATATGGCATAAAATACGAAGTGTAGTAATGACTATGGCAATGAAAACAATTAGTATAGCAATAGAGAAAATTGATACAAATAATTCACCTAATATTTATGCATACATGGGATACATGTTTTGTAGTGTTACATGTCTCTTTGGACCATGGATATCATTTAAGGATTATATATCAATACGTTACATAACTAATCAGGTATATATAATTATTATGTATTATAAATTTATTCAATAAAGAAAATTAATATTAATAACACATTAATTTTAGGATAAATGGTGGATATTGTATACCATTCAGTATGCGTTTGTGTCTTTTCTCTTTTTGACTGTATCAAATTGTTGGGCACAATGGATGATTATGGAAACTTCTTGGAAGTTAGTAAATATTTCTATACTATATCTTATTTTTTGCAATTATTATTTGATATAATTATTAATAATTTCTTTTCAGATGGTTATTAGCTTATAGAGATGCATTAGCTTTTAGAATGTCTCATTATTTTATTTCATATATTGCATCTACTTTATTATTATTAGGAGGATTTCCATTTACATTAAGTACTATAGTAAAACCATTAAAAATAGAATTTCCACGTTCACTTGTACATGTTGTGATTTGTTGGAATATACCAATGCATTTTTGGTTAAAAACATGTATGTATTATTCAAATTCTTCATACATATTAAAAGTAATATAAAAGTTTTTTATTAGTTATTTAAAAGTTATATAAAAGTTTTTTAATAATTTTTAAGCATATAAACTTTAACATTAATAATTTTTATATGTATTTTTCTATATAAATTTTCAGATATATTCCGTCCCAGCATAAAATATTTAGGAAAATTTGGAGCTGTAACAATAACATATTTAACGAGTGCTCTTTTACATGGATTAAATTTTCAGTTAGCAGCAGTTTTGCTCAGTCTTGGATTTTATACATATGTAGAATTTCAACTTAGATTTATGCTTGCTAATATTTTTGATGCATGTATTGCATCAAAACAGTGTACTACAAATAAATGTACACATACATATAATACTCATAATTCATGGTGGGTTTTTTTAATAAATATTATGTTTTCTGGGTTATCAATTTTTCATTTAGCTTATTTAGGTCTTATGTTTGATACATCTGAATTGCAAGAAACAGGATATAGTTATATTCATACTATTGAAAAATGGTCTCAACTTGGATTCGCTAGTCATTGGGTAGTGTTTGCTACATATTGCATATATTTTTTAATCAGATAGTATTAAATGTATAAATAAGTTACTTATTTTTTAATATTGCAAACATAGACGTAATATAATATACGTAATATTTATGCTATATCAATAATTAAACAAAAATTTTACTGTCTTAATCTTACTCTACATAATTTACAATATTTAATATGAATTATAAATTGAGAAAAAAAACATTTAATATATTCTTGTATAAAGTAAAAGTAAAAATAAAATTTGAATGTATCGATTAAATATAATTCTAAAAGTCTTAAAATAAATAAAATACGTAGTTTTTATTAAGTATACAATATAGTATAAATATAGTGTTTACATGTAAGTTTACATAAAGCACATTAAATATTTAATATATAATAACTCTAAAAAGCTTATATATTTGTTAAAATAATATATTATATACCGATATATTATATTATCAAAAGATAATGTATATGAAACTTTAATATAATTATAACAATGAATAAAAATATTTTTCTAGTATAATAATAATGTTTAATTTATATTATTAATACAGTATTATACAATAAAGAAAATCATTTATAATATTTATAATATTTATAAATATTACAATATAATGTGCGTATATTATAAATTAAATTAGAAAGATTAGATAAATAAAATATTTTAAAGTTAGTTATATTTCTTTTCATAAAATATAAAAAAAAATTGTTATAATTTAATTGTAATATTTAAGGCAAAAATTGAAAATATATGTCCATATATACATATTCAATTTTTTTTCTTTATTTTCTTTATATAATAAAAATATCTAATACAACACTTATAAAACATTATATTATATTAAACATATTTATAATCTAAATAATAATTAATCAAAATTTCATCAAAAATATATTAATTCTTATTAAAATAAAATTTCTCTAATATACTATTATGAGAGTACATATTGCTTTTCAACTTATCATTGTAATTTTATAATCAATTTTATTAATGTAATTAAATTTCACAGAAAAATATTAAATATATTCAATTTTTAATATAAATTATTTAAATGATAATATAAGTTTTTAATTATAATCTGATAACTTTAATTTATAATTGAATCATAATTTTTTTCTTAAAACAATGATATTTATATCTTAATTGATAGTTAATTTTTTTAATTAGAAAAAATTTATTTTTTTCCATTTTAAATTTTAATAAGATACAACATTTTATTTTACATTATTAAAATATCTTTATCATTATATACCAATACTATTCTTTTAAGAAATACATTAATTTAACAAAATATTTAATTTTTATATGTATATACACATTATAAATATACATATTACATATAAGTTATGTATATATTTTTCTGAAATAAATGTATAGCATTAGTAATAAACTTTTCATATTTTCATCATGTTATATGTTATTAATGACATATATTTACTAATTTAAAACACATATAAATAAATATAGAATAAAATAATAATTTTACATAAATCATATTATGCATAATCATATTCAATCATACATTAATCTTTCATTCTTTCATATGAAAGTATTTTAATTATTATTTTATCGTCATCATAAAAATGAAGTTCAGAAAGTTTTTTTTATATATTTAAAAACTTAAAAATATATAGTAAAATTGTTTTAGCATTTAATATTATGAAAATTTTTAAAATATTATCTTATCAAACTGTAATTTTTAAGTATAAAATAAAATTATGTAGCAAAATGTATATCATTATTAGCAAAATAGTTTAAACAAAAAGTAAACTAAGAAATATAAAAATTACCATAAAATTTAGGCTAAATATTTTGTTTTATAAATGCTATTATAATTAAAAACATCTAAAAGCAGTGCTTTTTATTAGAAAAACAAGGCGTGAAAATATACTAACATTTATAATAGCAACAGTATTTTTATCATCTTAGATTTATAATTGTATTTAACAGCATTTCTACATATTAACTTACATACGTTATTTACATAATATATAAAGCTATGAAACAAATATTAATACACATAATTATATCCTCAGATTATTTAAAAAAAATATTTAAATTTTTATTAGAATGATTTTTAATTATATTTATAATTTATATATATTTAATTATATTTATAAACTAATATAACATTGTTATTAAAATTGTTAATTCAAATTGATTTTTCAATAAAATTTATATCTTTTATTTCAATTATTTATAATATCTATGTTTTTTTTTATAATTTGAAATAAGAAAATTTTTATATTTCAAAACATCTTTTATTACTTTTGAGCTATTTTTTAAATCATATTTCTTGATATGTTTTATAATGACAGTAATAAAAGCAAAAGTAAAAAATAAAAACAAATTATTATTTTTATATATTTATATTAAATAAAATAATCTGAAGATATAGTTAAAATTGTTACATATTATTAGTGTAATTATACTGATTATAATAATTTTATGTTAAATACCACGTATGTAAGTATGTATTATATAATTGATCTTTGATACATTGTGATTGCAATTTCTCATTAAGAATATATATAATTAGCACAATAACAAATTTCTACAATCTATTAATTCTAATTACAAAATCCATATCATCACAAAAAATAAACTTAAAATTTAAAAATCTATTTAATATTTATAATTCAGTATATTTTATAAATTCTATAGATTCTATGATTCAATAGATACATATTTAAAAATTATATTAAATTTTATCTTTTACAGGAAGATAAATAAATTATATTAATCACATAGATATAAATGAGAATACATATTAGGATTTTAAGTTTCTATTCATTTTATTATCTTTCTCATTGAAAATAATAGAAATTATGTTTCATATAAATTCATATTGTATATCAATAAACATTAAAATTAAATTTTATATTTAATAATGATTTTAAATATTGTAAAGAGAAACAAGAAATAAACAAAAGAAAATATTGATCATTTCATATGAAAACCTTTGTATACAAGATTAATAATATATGTATAAGTAATTTAATAAATAAAAAATCTCTATATGATTATCAATAATATTTTAATAAAATTTAAGCTCAAATAAATTTTAATACATAATTTTTTACTAAAAATAGCAAGAAGTAAATAATGTGAAAATTTTTAAACTTAAAAATTAATTGATGATATCCATAATTATTCATAATTATAATAATAATATTCATATTAATTTTCTGACCAGCAGAAGAATAATGTAGTAAATTAAGATCAATAAAATTATATTTTTGTTGCTTTTACGAACGTTCAACGTATCGTAAAATATGGAAGAATTTTTAAAAACCATGTAGCATACATTCATGATTATAAGAAACTTACAATCCAATTTTAGAAATATAAACATAAAATAATTAACTTGAAAAAGTTATATGATAATAATAAGACTATTTGATCTTTTTCGATCACAACAACAATTATTTAAGTTGAAAATGAATGATTAGTGAAATGTTTTTACTGAATGATTGAATTTAAACGATGAGATCTTCTGCGTTGTCGAGATGCTTGAGTTATCGGATTGTCTTCCCCAATACCATTGAGAATATCGGTTAGTCATCTGATAAATGCAGTTTTATAACTTTTGGTCGTTCGCGCACTGTAAGTCACAGAAAGAAATCGAAGCAGTTCGTTAGCCATTTTAGTGTTATTTGATATCTAAATTCAAATGTAATTTATTTAATTAATTTCATAGAAAAAATGATAATTGTATTTAACAAAAAATTATTTTACATTTGAATTTTTATACAATTTAAAATTTTCTTAATCAATGCAATAAAAAAATCTTATAGAAAAATTAATAAATATATAACATTATCATTTTTTTTTTAAATTTAATAATGTTTTAAAAATTATATTATGTTTTGAATAAAAATTTCTTGTAAATACATGCAACATTTAATATTAATAAAAAGCTACATGCAAATTGTTGTTAATGATAAATATAAGATTTATAAATATGATTTTTTAGATTGTTCTATATATATTATATACAATTAATTATTAAAATAAAAATATTTCATAATTTATAATATATATGATGTATTTAAAAATTGAGAAATTGCATCAAAATAAAATTACAAAGCTGATTTATGTAATAATTATTTCAATAAAAAATATATATTTATTTTTAATTATATGAAAAAAATTTAAAATTAAAAAAAAACTTGTTTAAAAATTTTAAGCTAAAAATTGTTCATAAAAAGAACTATATAACTGTTACTTAATAAACATTTTGAAAGTAACAGTTACTAGAGAGACTTACTGTCTTAGAGAATGATAGCGATTTACTCGATCTGCAGACCTGAGAATCATATTCATGCCTCTTTGCGGTTGTGTAATCAAATTGTTTGCAGATGCATTTGTAGTTTGAGTCTCTGTGAGACAGGAAGTTTTTATACTAGCTCTTGTCACTGGTTTTGATACAGACATTGATGTAACACGTGTATTAGAAGATGTATTATTGTTGATATTATGAAGTCGTGTTGTTGGTTTAGTAGACTTTACACGATGTGAAGGTTCACATGTACTATTCACTAGCCAATTATTTCTATAATTTTTAAAATATTGTGAATTTATTTTTACAACCTTCATTAATTATAATATAAAACTAATAAAATTTGAAAATAAAAGAAAAAATTATTTTAAATAAATAATAAATTTAAAAAACATTTATGAATTGAATTAAATAAAATTTAGTTCTTAACCTTTTAGAAATTGTAGTTGTAGTAGTAGATCTAGAAAGGAGTCTTTTTGTTGAATCCTTTTCTTTATTTCCACTTAATGTATTAACTGTACTTTTTTGAGTTCTTGTTTGTAATAATGATCTTAAATAAGGACTAAAAAAAGTGATATTTATTTATTAATATTCTATATTAATTTGTTCTTATTAATAAATAATTAATAAAATTATATTATGATACTTACTTTACTACTGTTGATGGTCTAGTAGTTGTATTTAAAGAAGTATGATTCGTTGGTAAACGTTTTCTTTTAGCTTTTATTTGATTCAATTTATCACCTTGAGTTAAAGTAGTACTAGTACTTGCATGATCATCTAGTGTAATTCCATCTACACAATGCATTATTCCTGAAACATTATCTTGCATCACGTGAGCGGTTTTTAGACTGGATAAAAATGATGTCTTTGGTCTACCAATTATAGAATATATTCCATATTCATGGACTGGTTTTCCATTTTGAGCTTGTAATGGCTCTTTTAATAAAGAATGAAGATATGCTTCTTTTCTAAAATATAGAATTTATGATCTTTTTTAGTATCAAAAATTAAATT